TTTGCTCTTTAATCTGAGTCTCCTACTAACATGAACCTGTAACCATTTGGATCACATTTGAAGTATAACTAACAAAGGATTTTTGAGAAGTGGAGCATACTTACCTTTGAGGCCACATGAATTAACCCAAGTGTTACTCCCCTAAACAGAAACGGTGTAGGGAGGCAAGAAGATAACTTCATATGGCACCGTGTTGTTGAGCTCGCGGAGTTCCTGTCCTCTTAATGTTACTGTCCTTTCCACCAAGTCCTTAGAAGTCAACCACACACTGAGGCACAATAAGAAATACTTTTTTGTCTTTTGTAAGTCTCCAACTATTCTGAGTTTGGCCTTTTCCCTAGGACCCAAAAGGGACACATGAAAGCAAGAGGTGCCCCACATTGACTTTCAGGATAGCATAGAAGAAAGGGGGAAAAATTATACTGTTTCTCTCTGTTCTGGTGATTATGTGAAAGAGAACAATAAGCAAAAGTCTCATTTTCTCACTGAAAAATTGCTTTCCTTATGATCACTAGCTTAAATGAAAATTCAAGTTAATCTAGAAATCAGATTTGCCATCCTTGTGTTCTGAAAATATTTCAGTGTTACTTGGAATGGTATAAACAACCTATCTTCATATACAGGAAATAGACAGTATATCATTAATTCAAATTCAGATCAGCATTCTTCCACAAATAGTGGGCCTAAAGTGTTTGCCATTTCTTTATAGGATTTAATAGCCATCGGCCTTTGCAATGTCGTCAGTTCATTTTTCAGATCTTGTGTGTTTACTGGTGCTGTTATCAGGACTATTATCCAGGATAAATCTGGAGGAAGACAACAGGTGTGTTGAAATAGAATTTGATCTCTAATATAAAAAAGATATTTATATCTATCCATACATATAGTCATAGAAGGGGTTATATCAGTTCAATCATGTTGCTGTTTTAATGTTACGCTTGTTGGGGAAATCTCTTAGAAGAATTTGTATTTCATGCTTGCCTTTATTTTTGCTTAGATTTTATCTTAAAAGAGATTTTTCCCCTTGAAAGTCATTTTCTACTGAAATGTTATTCGCTGTGAGAGTTTTCTATATGTTACCTCACAAAGCCCCATTCCCCATGTAACATAACTAAAAGATACTATTTCAGGTAAACTAACCATCACCTATTAACGGTTTTTCTATGGGGAAATATATTCTCAGTCTTAGTCTGAGAAATCAATAATACAACTTTATCCATCCTGGCAGCAGAACTAGAAACCTTCCTGACTTCCTCAAAGGGCATGCACGGCAAGAGGCTTTCATGATAAATAGTAAGGTCTTTATCTAGGTGAGCCTAGAGAATTTATAAATGTTCTTCCTCTATATAAGAGAAAATTATCTAGGTCAGACTCTGTTCAGCTCTTCCAAATGAGTAAAGTATAGGTATGGTGTGTGGGAGGGGAGAGAGAGAGTTGGGGATGGTGCTAGAGAAGGTTCTATAAGGCAAACTCTTTGTCTAGCTGCAGGCCTGAAATTTGGTAAGTCCAATATTCATGAGTTTTGAACTCATTAGATAAAAGTTATAACTTTACACCATGAGAGGTATCCCATTTCAACTATGAAGCATGATGAGATGTCAAAGAATGATCAGAACTGACCTTGGGTGCACCTAGGGAATTGATCAGGGTTCAGAAGGCAGAGAAACAGTGACAGAAGTCAAAGACAAGCTTAGGGTGCAGAAGCATTGTAGGAAAGTATAGCCATGGTCAGAAGCTGAAGTGTCAGAGGACTGGACCCTAAATTTTAATGGGTAAAGATGAATTGTCACAGTCCATGGGTAAATATAGATGGACTATAAGGTGAAATCTAATAAAAGTCAGAAGATAAGGCAGGGGCCAGAGCATGTATCTAGAATAAGACAATGTTGTATCATTTTATGTGAACTGAGTTTTGTTCTCATAGAGCTTCTGCCAGACCGCTGGCCTTTAAGGTGTAGCTCTTTTCCACTACTGTTTGACAAAAGGAAGTTGGGTTATGTTTAAAAAGGTTATTCAGTGCAAGTATGAGAAAACCTTGTGGTCAAAATTGGAGGATTTCATAAGACAAATAGTGTAAATGGCAGTTCCAGACATTAATTCCCCTTAGCTTTTGACAACATACTTTGTTTATTCATTATAAAAGCACAACATAAATTTTGGGAGAAGAGATAAATGCAGTTGGGAAAAACTAAGTGGCAGTGTAAGCAAAATTAAGTGCAGAATAAGTGCAATAAATATTGTAAGAAGGAAAATGGTGAATCAGAACTTTCATGGATTATTGAAAGAGGGTTAGGATATGCATAGATGGAGGGAAGGAAGACAGACTTCAGGCAACCTCAGAGTCGCTTTTAGCTTGTTGAACAAAATGCACACCTCAAAGGGATGCTGGTCAGCTCTTCCCTGAGACCCTCATTTTCCCAGTGCAAATCGCTGATTCAAGCAGAGAATGCTGCTGGCCCCTGGCCTCATCCGTTGGAGCGACCCAACCTTCACACTTGAGTTGCTGATCTGGACCAGCAAAGGCCTCTGAGACTCATTCAGCCTTCACTGGTTGTGGCAAAACTATCGATCCTTCCAGCCATGGCCTGGGTCTGAAGTGTTGGCAGGCCTGGGGCAGAAGGGATGTGAGAGCCCCAGGCCTGTGGTCAGCTGGGCTGTCCACCACTCTATCTTCCTGCTCATCCAGTTCTGACCATGTGCTTCTCTGTTCCCCATGATTGGGTTCCTTTCCTTGTTCTCTGATTCCCAAGAATGGGCCTTATTGCATTGTCCCTGGGCTCCCAGAAATGCTTAAAAAATGAGTTACTATAAAAGAAAGAAATGTGTTATGTTCTTACTAGAGGAAGCAGATGGAGCAGTGGAGAGATCCTGGATGTTGGAGTCAGTCCATCAGGTGGATTGAAACCTGACTCAATGGTTCCTAGATGTGTGACCTTGGGCAAGTTACTTTTGCTTCCTGAAGCTCTAGTCCTCATCTGTAAACTGGGGATAAGGATAACTTTTCAGTTGGGAGAATTAAATTAGATGACAATAGTACCCATCTCATAGTGCCTGTCACTTCAGATGCTCAAAAATCAAATTCTACTCTAGGTTTCTAGAGCCCCAGCCAGTGCTTGGCAATCTACTGTCCTACTTCATGGAACCCACACTTCCGGAGTAACTGGTGTCTGAGGATCTGCAGCTAAATAGTGGCTGTGGCTTGTGGGAACTCACATTGCCTTGAGTGTCCAGAGAGAAGGCAGAGTCCGTCTTTGCTCAAGAAAGGCTGGGAGAGTAATGGAAAATCAGAGCAGAAAAACATGTATGACATGTCAAGTTCTACCTGCTTGCTGACTTTAGACCCTAGTCAGGCACTCAGTCCAAGATTCTGAGAGCCATCAAGCATCTTTCTCAGGCACAGTACCACCGAGGATGATCCTCTGATCCCAAAGCCCACTCATTTGTGTGTGCAGCCAAGGGAGATACACAATTATTGGCAGGCTCCCCTTTCTCTGAGCAGAAATTTTATGGGATTCAATGTCTGATCTGTACTCATTTTAATCTAAGATTCATTTTGCAGCTTATTTTGTCATCTGCCCATCTTTGCTTCCTTAAAAATACTCAGAACTGTGGAGCAAAGAAGTGGTCGAAGGGAAAAGTCCTCACAGATGTTCCTGGGTGAAGCAAAGTAATTTTTTTCTGTAGTGCCAACAAAGACCCCCTGAGGCTGGAGCCTTAAATGAGACCCAACAACAGACTGGTATGTTCAGTGGCTGGAGGTGCTTACAGCCTCTGTTAACCTATTTCAGTTCCACAGCACATAAAATGTTTGCCGGTAGAACTTCCCAAGTTTCAGGTACAGTGATGCAGCTTCTTGAATCCTTCTCCCTACACGACTCTCGTGGGGCTCAAAACTTGCCCACATCGGCTGGGAGGGGACAGAAGGAAGTAGGCTGTTGATTTCATTGCCATTATTTTCAGTGGTACATTTATACGGCAAATAGCAGTGAGCTGTGAGAGGAAAACTGGTAGGAAGATTTGTTGTTGTTTTTCCACACCTAAGAAACAAAAAGGAAATTTAGAGAATCAGTGCTGAGCGGTCATTTAACGGTTTAGATTTGAGGGATTCCTTCAGTTCTTGCTCATATATGCCATTGTTTTCATTTGTGGTTACAGTTTCATTCCTCACCTCATCCCCCATCACAGGGGGAAATGACAATGCTTTATAGTATGTTTCATTGTCAGGAGGTTAAACAGTGGAAATTAATCAATAGAGAATATAATGAGTTCAAGACTATGTCCAGAGAGCCTTGAGATTGATTGTAAAGGGATTGTGAAGTATGTTTCTTAACTTTCTACGTGTATTTGCCAATCACTTCTTACCAAGTAAACACTGAGCCCAGAGTAGTCAGCCCAGCTGGGACTGGATCCCGAGCTGCTAGGTACAGCCCTGACTCACATTGGTAACTTTTTTTTATTGTAATGAAGCAGAGAGAAACTGAAGAAGGAAAATCAGAAGTGGTTATCATTATATTTTTAAGAGGAAGCAGTACTACAAGCTCCAAACAGAAGAGTGAGGGATGGAATACTTATTGTAATGGGAAGTGGAATGGTTGAGATTTTAAGGCTGACAGTGACAAGTTTTACTGGGGCTTTTCTAAACCAAGGGTTAAAGTTAGGAGGGAGTGCAAGTCGGATTTTAGGAGACTTCAGATTCATAGCACAAAGATATGGCAATAAAGACTGAAATACCCAAGACAATTTGCAATTTGAAACTTTTCCGAAAGCATTCATGGGTTCATTCAACAAGTATTTACCATGTACCTAGTATGTGTTTAGCACTTTGACAAGACCTGAAAATGTCAGTTCAACAGAAAAGCACGTGTGCTGGATGATTGCACTCAACTTCTTTTAAGAAAAAAATGACATGCTTCTCGCCAAGCAGAAGGCTTCAGCTGCAGACAGGAATGAATACGTTCCTGACTCTCTCTCTCCAACCGGCTCTGTCTCCTCAGTTTGCGTCTCTGGTAGGCGCGGGTGTAATGCTGCTCCTGATTGTGAAGGTGGGACACTTCTTCTACAAACTGCCGAATGTAAGTAGAACTGATCAAATAACTAAGACTAGAAAGGCCTGATCCCCAGATTGCACCTTGGTGAGAAGTACACTCAGCTGGTCCCCACTGCTGGCCCCAGTCTATCTCTAGTGCCCTTCCTTTAAAGTAATAGCATCTACCCCCCCAAAATTGGGAGCTAAATAAGATAATATATATATACATAATAGAGAATAGTGTTGAATTAATAAGCACTCAAGAAACGTTAGTTATTATCATTATTATTCTCCTCATTAATCTATTTATTGTATAAGCTATAAAGTAAGCTTTGTAAGTAAAGATTCAGTTAAAGATGACCAAAATAGACTTCAGATGCCAGAACACCCATTACCAACACAGGCTCGGACTCACTGTGCATTCATGCCATCTGTTTTTCTAAGCCCTTTCCAGAAGGCCTCGCTCTGCATTCATATGAACTCAATCTCCCTACTGCTGCCACATGGCCTCCTGGTTAGTGCACAACACTAGAAGACAGATTCTGAAAGTTGAGTTTTAATTCCATGTTCAGCTGGGATGCCTCTACCTGCTTATGTGCTATTTCTTCCCTTTGTGTGAGACTGATTACCTTGCACTTAGAGATACCAGGTGTATTAAATACTAGGTATAATCCATTTGTTCCAAGATACAAATATACATCACTGCTCAGTGACCACAATTTCCTTTTAAATTTCCTCAATGTTCCCTTTAGCCATTTTTTTGGCATCATTAATCTACAATTACATGAGGAACATTATGTTTACTAGGCTCCCTCCTTTACCAAGTTCCCCCAAAAACCCCATTACAGTCACTGTCCATCAGTGTAGTAAGATGCTGTAGGCTCACTACTTGACTTCTTTGTGTTGCACAGCCCTCCCTGTGCCTCCTCCCACATTATACATGCTAATCGTGATGCCCCTTTCTTTCCACCCCCCTTTATCCCTCCCTTCCCACCCATCCTTCCCAGTCCCTTTCCCCTTCATAACTGTTAGTCCATTCTTGGGTTCTGTGATTCTGCTGCTGTTTTGTTCCTTCAGTTTTTTCTTTGTTCTTATACTCCACATATGAGTGAAATTATTTGGTACTTGTCTTTCTCCACCTGGCTTATTTCACTGAGCACAATACTGTCTAGCTACATCCATGTTGTTGCAAATGGTAGGATTTGTTTTCTTCTTATGGCTGAATAATATTC